ATGCACCGCTCCATGAGACGTTGGAAGGTGCTAGGAGCATTAGTTACTCCTTGAGGCATGCGGTTATATTCATAAAATCCAAGTGGACAGACAAATGCAGTTTTATTTTTGTCTGATTCATTCATCTCAATCTGGTAGTAACCTGATTTTAGATCCAATGTGGAGAACCATTTGGAGCCAGACAGTGCTGAAAATGTATCCTCCAGTTTTGGCAAAGCGTATGCATCTCTGATGGTCTGGGCATTCAACTTTCTGTAATCAATACAGAGCCGTACTGCACCATTTTTCTTCCGCACTACAACTATAGGAGAAGCAAAGGGTGAGTTAGATTCACGTATAACACCAGACTGCAGCAGTTCTTGAATGTGTTTACGCACAGCATCCACATCTTGGGGGTGGATGGGTCTTGGTCGCTGTTTAAAAGTTTAAAACCTTATCTGTGCAACCAAAATCAAGATCATGTTTTGAAAAAACATCTGACATATTGTTGAGCATGGTTGTTATGCGTTGTTTCCACTCAGCTGAGAGCAGAGAGTTTCCAAAGTTGTAACTCAGCTTGGTTGGATTTAACTCTGCACTCTGGGAAGGTTGATGTACTGTCTGCTCTTTGTGAAGAATGGTCTGGATGGTACTGACTTCAGCTATGGCTGCTCTAGCTGGAATCACAATGTCATGGTCAGATTCATTAGTGATAACCACAGGCAGAGAAGCAGGCTGTACAGGAGGTAGATCCATAAGGCTAGATTTCACTATCAAACCACCAGGTAGAGAGAAAGAAGTTGGATGCTGAATAATTACTTCTTTTTCTCCTTGCAGTAATGGGCATATCAGAAGAGCATCCAACACAGCAGTTCTTTGAGCAGGAACTACCTGTGGGCTGGGTGACTGCATTTCTAAAATGCCATGATAGTCATCAGTTGTTAGCTTATGCCTTATCTCCAAAATTTTATGCACTGCTCTATATCCAAAAGGCACAGGATGAAACTCAGCCTGTGATTGACAGCACTGGTCATAAACAATATCCAAAGTGTTGGTGCCAATCAGAACAGGAGGTTGTGATGACCGCAGGTCTGGAACGACCAAGGCCAAGGTATTGATGTCCATCTCTTCTCCTGCAAACTCAGAAGGAAATGTCAGACAGAGTTCCACATATCCAATATAAGGCACCCTCTGACCATTTGCACCTTCTATCTCCAAAATTTCATTTAATGATTTTATCTTATAATCTGAGAGATGGGTGTTATAGAAGGAATGCGAGATTGTGGTGACTTGGGAACCTGTGTCAAAGAGGCATTGAAAATTGATCCCTTTAATCTTCACCTCACCAGTACTTCTTGTGCCCACTAATCCTTTAGGTGATGGGAAATATGAAGATGAGTCTTTGTTAATGGGACATTCACTGGTTGCAGCTCCCACTTGTCCCTCAGTAAGAACTGCTTCTAGTTTAATGGTTTGCTTTTCTCCCAGGACTGCTGTTTTTGTTTCAGCTGGCGGCGCTTTTCTTCAACCAGGCTGGAATTTGGTTGACTGGAACAGTTTGGGGCAATGTGACCGTCCTGTCCACACTTAAAGCAGAACCAGGGCCTTGGCCTACTACTGGTTTGGCCAGATTTTGGTTTCTGTTTTTTCAGCTGATTCTGGTTTAGCAGAATTTGAGTCCTTGGACAACAGGGCTGACATTTGACTCTGCAGCTTTAGCATTTGCTTCCTCAAGTCTTCAATAGCACCCGAGTCTGACAGATGGCCACATGAGCATGCACTGGTGGTATGAGCTTGTACATTAACACGGTGCTTGACTGCTGGAATATGTTTTTTCATCAACATCTCTTTTGCCAACTGTCTGTCTTCCTCTGTTCTAAGTGTTAATAAAAACTCTGAAAAGGGAGGTGGTTGGTTTTTTTTCTTTTCTAGTTGAAGTTTGTTTATCAAGCCGTTATCCCAGCAACCCCTACAAAATTGTTTTAACAAATATTTGTCCATTTCAGTTGCTGGAATCCCACCACGCTTCACCACTGTACTGAGAGCTAATTGGAGTCTCTGCAGATAAGAAGAAGGTCGTTCCCCATGGTCCTGAAGCGTGTTTAAAAATTTTGCAAACAGCTCTTCTCCGTCTTCAACAGTAGCATATGCAGAATCAAGTACTTGCAAAAATTCTGCAGGCAGGGCATTGGGCCCCAAACCTCTCACTAGGTCAGCAGCTGGAGGTAGTAAACCTTCCAAAATGCGCCTTGCAACATGTAAAGGTGCAAGACTTGGATCGGCATTTAAAAGTTCTATTTGAGACCTCCAAGATTCATAATCTGCCTCATGCTGAGGTTTCGGAAGCTTTCCTGAGAAGGTACGTAGTCTAAAGGAAGACAGAGGTTGAAGATTTACATCATCTCTGTGCACAATGTGTTCAACTACAACCCTTTGGACCCCAGGAGGGTTTAGATCGTTCCCTGAGAGAGAAATTCTCGGCCCCACGTTTGTAGTTGGATTTGGTTGAGTTTGTGGTCTTTGCTGGTTGGTGGTGGACTGATCTGATTGGTCTGAGGAAAGATTCAACGGCCGAGTCTGACTGGATTCTCTGTCAGTAGCAAATATTTCCACTGTGGTCTCTTCATCATCAGCCTCATCAGGCTCCCCTCCGGTAGCCGCTATTCCTAAATGAGCACTTATTTGTTCAAAAACTCCTCTCAGAACATCCTCAAATGATTGTCCACTCTGCTGGGAAATGCGTTTCAGTTCATAAAGGTAATCAGGGGCTTGGGTTGTATCCACTGTGGTTGTGGCACAGCACTCTCTTGAGAGTAATTTAATAACAAATATAACATCGTCTGCAGCCTCAGATTGGTAAATATATGGTAAAAGCGATTTTAGCTTTTCCAAATCTGCAGGATTAACAAATTCAACGGCCAGGTTTTTATAAAATGGACTCTCACGTGCAGTAACAGTAAAAACCTTAACGTCACCATAGCTGCGTAAATAATTAATGATCTCATCATCTGCTTGAGTGTTTGTTACACCACTAACAATAACAGAATGAGCAACATTAATACCAATTCCTTCAAAGAAATCCATGTTTCAAAACAAAACAAAATACATTCACCAAAACATCCACAGCATCAGGCTCCTGGCTAGCTCGCCAAAGAATGTAACAGTTATGGGCTAGGCAGCTAACTGCGATATCAGAAAAACAGTTCGTTAAGGAGCCTGAGGTGTGAATGAAAACACAAGGAAACTGTTTTAGTTTTTGTGCAAGTGTATTATTGTTTTTCCTTGTAAACAGGGAAACAAATAAGGGGCAGGAAAAAAAAACAACAACAAACAAAACAATTACAAATACACAAAAAAAATCAATTCTAGAGTCCTAGGGGTCTTGTCCTTTTTTAGCTCGCCATCAGTTGTTCAGGATCTGAGGATCTGATCCATCATATATAAAAAAAACCGACCTAAAAGGCCAGAAAACCCATTAAGTGTTTTAACAACACAAATGCAACAAATAAAGTCAATACAACTATCAAATATCTAATAATTAAACATCTCAATCAGGTTAAATTAACCATAATTTAAATAAACAAAAAGAATAATCATTTCAACCTAATCAATTAAGGTTAAACTTGAAAAGTTGAAATCAAAGTTAACTTTCAAAATATCAAATAAAATAAATTAACTCAAATACTCAAGCAGTGTGAGAGGAAGAAATTAAATAAATATACTGCGCAATATCAATTTAAATGTAGCTACATTATCCTATTTTAACACATTTCATTTTACAAAGTGCCCAAACACACACCATACCAGCAGTTTAGTTACCTTAAAGCAGGGAGTGGGGCACACCCAACAGCGATCAGCTGTGACAGCCCAGGCACAACAGCAACTGTTCTAATAAAACAATGCTCCAATGAGCAATCAAGCAGCAATTGCATACCAATCTGATACTGCTATGCTAGGAACAAACTCACCAAGAGAGCAAATCAGTGGTTGCAGAGACTTGGATTATTTCCAGGGTGAAATGTTCAGCAGGATGCCAACAGCCAGCCACAATCACAGTGGAACAGGTGATGTAGTTTAACCTGGCTGGAGGCGGGGCTTTAAATAAGTTGAGGAGTTTGGGCAAAACAGGAAGTGGGCCCGCAAAAATAAAAGTCTTGATTGACTAATTGCGGGTTACAAGTGCCAGGAAATTTAAAAAGAGGAGAGACCTACATTTTTACAGTTATGATGCTCCATCTCTCTTCTATTGTTTTTGAATTGCCGTTACTGTAGCAACAGACAGAGGTGGTTGTAAGCAAACAAGAAAATACCTTTGATTGATAGGTTGCCCCTTTCTGAAGGGAAGGGAAGTCAATTTATTTTTCTTGACCCAATATACAACTTTAAAATCTTCTTATCCATTTGATGAGTGAATTATTAAAAGTAATTTATAAAAAAAAAAGAAAAAAAAAAAAAAGGCAAGGTGGAATGAATGCAAATATGAAATATATTGTTCTGTGCATCTGACTGTTTATCAAAAAGAAGATCCAGCCTTTGTGGAGGCTGGTTGCAAATATATCTCTTTAGTGCCAACGTGAGGGTGAAGGTTTTATCAGTTAGTGTTCATGTGTGAGGTCTGCAGAGATGTTAAGCGTCTCTTTTCTAACCCTGGACCTTTTTAAATAGCCCTGGATGGAGGCCCTGATGACTATGGACCTAAAGTCTGTGGAAGAACCAAATTAATATAAACCAAGTACTGGCCATAAGCAGTTATTGCTGCTCAAGATGGTTGCAAAAGCATTTGGATTTAAGTGTTAACATATTTACCCTCTGTTTGCAAATTTTGACTTGTTTGTAGTCAAGTTATATGCAGCTTTATATGTTAATCCATTTTAAAACTAAATTCAGGCACAAAACATAAAAAAAAATAACTTTAAAAGCATAAGATGCATGTCTTATTGTATCTTACTTTTCTCTGATACCTCAGGAGAAATTAACATTTCCAGTGTCTCATTTGAACACTTTCATAAAAATGACAACAGTTTTATGTTTAAAAAAAACAAACTGATTTATTTATTTTTTTGTGACACAATATAAGGCTCAGAACTGGTCGCACACTCGAATCAAAATATACACGTTTCATTGGATATAAAACTAACAATAACCTTTCAGGCAGCTGTGTATAAAACATGTATGTACAGTAGACATCCCCGTCCCTTGGTTTGTCCCGCTTTGGACTCACACACTAGCTTCATCGGAAACTTAAGGTTTGTGATGCATTCAGGTGCACCAAGGGAGAAACCGTACAAGCAGACAGATTGATGCGTTTTTAGTTGAAAATTTTCTTCACAGGTTTCACAGTTTGTCTAAATAATTGACTTGATGTCCAGCATTTGGAGTGTTTACATTGGTCCGTTTCAACAAGAGGCGAGAAACTTTCAGAACTGTCGACAGAGCAGTCAACACACCTAAGAAAAGAAAACAGCATCTGTTTTCTGTTTATTTTTTTTTAGAGGAGGTGGTGAGATTACTTTAACAAATATTCTGACCTGCCATCAACCTGTGGCCCACAGCACCCACCCCATCCACCCCCATCCACCCAACACATTAAAGTGCCTACACAACAACATATTTTTAAAAGGAATTACAGCACTGCATAGTAACTAAACAAAAACACCTTTGACCACAGATCAGTAACTTTTAGTATTTTGGGGTTTTCTGGGAAACAGTTTTAAGAATCATGTTAAATTTTTTGCGTTAGCTAACATAAAGGCCAATAACACTCATTTCTTGAATTTCATTCCTCTTTAATTTCATTAGATGGAACAAGATCAACTGGAGTAGAAAATCTGAGCAAAAAGCTCGTTTTGGGAACAGTATCCTCTTTAATCATTATGAACACGATTCTCATTCTGTTTCAACTGATTACCAAACAATTCTGGCATATTTTGAATATATTAAAATATATATATATATTTTTTTTTTTTGCCCACTTAAGTGATTCTGAAAATTACATTTATTTGAATTTATTTCAATGGCGAGGTGAGTGGAGCCTGATCAGACCTACGGAGATGAATGATCTTGGGAATTTTGGAAAATCAGATTGGGGAAAATGCATCCATGCCACATACATAGCATAATAAAATTTACAAGAAGTTATATGAGGATTTCTTTATCATTTTCTTTTTTGCATATCTGTATTTCAACAAACCCCCTTAAAATCTGAGAGCTTTTTAACCAACGTGTAACATCCATTTATCTGAAGAAGAGACGAAGACCACAGAGGGGGAAAATAAAAAAAAGACCAATAATAATATAGTAAAAAATGTTTCTACTTTGGGGGAGTGGTAAACATATGTGTTCTTGAGGTCTTGAGGAAGACCCTAAACTCAACACCCTAAGTTACCCAATCAATAATGGATTAAATGCAGGGGACTACTTTCCTTGACAAATATACATTAACTGTTGGCAAAGATTAAAATTTTATTGGGTGACACTGAGACATGGTTCAGTCTTGTATAGCTCCTTTTTTAAGCAGCTTGGTTATTGTCCCGTTCTTAGCGGCCCTCAGTGGAGCTCTTGATGAGCTTAACACCACTATCATCAGCAGTGACATCAGGGTCTTAAGGTCTACTTGACAAATAGGTTTGAGATGAGAAATAAATCTGAGGAAATTAGTAGCAATTGGTTAGTTTTGAAAGGAAGTGGGGTCTGCAGAAATACAAATGTTTGGATATCAGGGGGATTAGAAGAATATTAACTTCATTTGTCTGGTGAGCAAAGCTGCAATGCTCATCCTAGCCCACCGTTTACTGCAACTCCAACAGAAAGACAATAAAATGAGTAAAGTAAAACCCTGTACAGAGATTAGATCCAAACATTTGCATCCCCAGCTCCATGAGAGACAGGATAAATAAAATGGTAAATAAAATGACATTTTTTTTTTTTTTTAATAAGTCAGATAAAATTAAAAATTCATATTTTGTGAGTTTAATTTTTTTTAAGGGGGTTTAATGAAGGAATGTGGCAACAGACATTTACAGGAATGTAGCCTGGTAGAGATTAATCAACATAATGTTGACTGGATTTTATTTGTAAAGACAGAACGTGACGACAGAGATCATAAAGAATGATTAATAATTGATTGAGTGGAAAGTTGAATCAGTCAGTCAACTGTGCTTAACTGCAGCCCTACTGGATGAGTACAGAAACATCCAGCAGTTAATGATAAACTTACCCCCCCCACACCCGTTTTAGTTTGATCTCTTCCAAGGTGCACCGAAGACATCACAACCAGTAAACTCAGCAGCTTATTTCTACGAAGCACCTCCGTCGAACAGCAAAATATCCCATTATTTTGAGAATGGGTAAAACTTCCAAGGAATGTTGTCAATTCCCAATATTAAGACAAAAAGAAAGAAAATCAGCATCTTCAGGCTCAAAATTTGTGTAAAACATCAGGGAAATGAAATGCCTGATGTTTGACTTCAGCGCTGGGTTAAAGGCACTCCACCGGTGGACTGAATGCACTGAAGGCATGAGCGTTTTCACAGGAAAATATAAACACCAAGAAAGCCTGAACCAGCTCACCATTGTCATTTTGTTATGTTTTTTTTCTTTTTTTCAGTCCTTAAAATGAAAAACCTGAGGCAGGTGGAATAGTTTGCATCTAAAGGGCTGTTTTTTGGTTTTAGCTGTAGTGGATCACAAATGTATAAATAAGAAAAACCGTTCCGAGAGACACGCGACTGACAAAACCAAAAACATTCATCTTCAGCTGGAGATCACTGACGAGAAGGAAAATAAAAAGCTAAGGAATTATTAAAATATTGCTACAATATATGATTATATTATGATTGCATATTTCGAAATAAAAGAGAGAAAAAAAAGGACAAAAACTAAATCTAGACTAACATTAAAGCGAAGCTGCTAAAACTCACTCAGTTCACATGTTTGGTACTACAGTTACCAACATTAGAAAACACTAACTTAAAGCACTGACAACACCAATAAAATACACAAAAAAAACAGGAATATATCTGTAATACATCTCAACAGTAAACCTTAATTAACTGTAAACCTGCTTTTGTCAATTCAGAGGCTTTGTTTTGTCTTTAGGTGGGAATAAGGCACAAGGATCTTTTTAAGGTCAAAGCAGACATCTCTAATGGATGCCAAAGTGAAATCTGAAAGTCAGAAGGTTGAGCTAAAACTTCCTAAAAATCTGAATTTCTTTATCAGGTGAAAACAAGAATCAGAGATTAAAGTGATCATTCTGAGAAAGTAAGTTTTTAACATTTCAGTCGGAGCCCATGGTCATTTTAAAGGCAGACTTTGATCCCTTGATCATTGGGCTAAAGTCAAAAGGCAAAAGAGGCTGAAAAAATGCCAACTTCCCCCAAAAAAAGGACATTAAATTCTGACTACAACAGGCAGTTCTGACCTTGTATCAAACAGTTCAAACTCAGAATACTGACTTTTCTCTGATTTTAGAGAACCAGTAAAGAACTTTAGAGGAGCTCTGAAGTGTCATATTTATGGACTCTTCCTACCCTTTGCTAAAGGTGAGTAGTCTAAAAGGTTAAAAATAACAAAATAATTTAACATCACAGCAGACTTCACGGTGGTTTCTGCAGATGTGCATTGGAATGATCGGAGTGTAGTGGACACCATCGGACAGGATCCAGCTCGCAGAGACGGAGGCTCAGATGGAGGACTTGGAGAAAGAGACCCGCAGGTGGTGGTTCTCTCCCAGGTCGTGGTTGTGGAATGCAATGAGACAGTCGATGGCTTCTTCCACTGAACCCATCTGGATCAGAGCCATCTTATGGTCCTTCCTGAGTAAGAAAAGAAATGTTTCAATTTATAGCAATGGAACAGGATCCATGATCAGGACTTCCATGACATGGCAGGACCTTGTTAGAATGATTAGATGCACTGAGGGAAATTCAAATATGGTGGACTTATGGGTTGGGGAAAAAAAGAAAAGCTACTCCAGAAAGAGGAGGTGTTAGGTCTAAAGGTGACTGCTAAACAAAACAACAGTACTTCAGGACTATTGTACCAATAATCTCACACCACTCTGGCATAATTGAGACTATTCCCCAAATCATGCTCCTCCTGGTATCAGTCGTTTCTCACATGGGCCTTGAAGTCCTCTTAAAGGGTACTGATCAGCAACCTCGACAGGGATGTTAATGAGACCGAGTCCTCTGTGCATCATGGTCCCTCTCATCCAATTCAATTCAATTCAGTTTATTTATATAGCGCCAATTCACAACACATGTCATCTCAAGGTACTTTACAGAGAAATTTCAACCAGATCATAAAGTCAAATTGATTAAAAGTTTTCCATCTTAGGAAAACCAGCTGATTGCTGTTGATCCACCAGGGAGAACCCTGATATGAGATGACCAAGTTGAACTACAAAGGAATTGGGTCTAAAACTTTGCATTGACAGCAGGACCTTAGGACGAGTCATGGTGAAAAAAAAAAAAAATAATAATAATAAAATGAAAGGAGGACAGTACTGCATCAAAGATGGTTACAAGGCAGGCCAAAGGAAACTTAAAGGTTAAGGACTTCAGCAATGTATTAAGAAAAATAAGGAATAAAGTCTTAAAACAACAAATACATAATAAAGAAGATCAAATCTTCAACAACAAAAAATAAAAATCTAGATAAGTAATTTTTTTCATAAAATAAGTGCATTTGTTCTTGGATTGAGGAGGTAAAAGAGACATTTTGCAAATGGAAAAAGACATTTTACATTTCAAATAAGAAAACACAATTGTATCGTCTTATTTCAAGTGCATTCTATCTAATTATCTTATTTTAAGAGTAAAATACTAATTTCATTGGCAAACCATCTCCCTTACCTTCTCATATTAACGTTAAAAAATACATAATTAATTTGATATTTTTTTACTTATTTCCAGATAGTTTTTCCAGTGTGATAATCAAACCTGAGGGATTTAAATTCCAGACACTCAGCTTTAAGGCAATAACTCACACATCAGTATCTTTTAGGAAGTAGTAGTAAAGTTAAAGTTAGAGGCAGTGACTTACTGGAAGAACTTGAAGGCATTGACAACAGCTCCAGAACTTGAGAACAGCATCTTTAGGTCATCTTCAACCACAGAAGGGCTAAAAACACAGACAAAACAGTTATATAGGAGCAATAAAGTTTTTCGGGTTTTTTTTTATATCATCTTACTTTTCCAGTTGTTTAAAAGTATAGTGGAGGAAGCTCTTTTTACAGGTAGATCATCAAAATAAGTGGTCCTCCTAATTGTCAATCATTCTGGTGATATGATTACGTAAGGCCGTCCTACGTGCTCATCCCCGTTTTCACTTACCGGCTGTGAGTTAGACATAGTAGGAAAAACTACAAATCTTTTGCAAAATAAGCTTGTATGAGTGATTCAAACAGCAGCGTTTAAATATAGCGTACACTAGGAGAATTGGGCTCGTGCATGCTCTCACACATGTTTAATATCTGTTCCCTTTAGGGAAGCGGGTACAGGGGTTGTAAGAGGAGAGGGCGGGTCTTTTCTAAATTTGCAAAAATCCTCCACTATACCTTTAAGGCTACATGAGGTGATTATGTTCATATTCAAGAGACGTACGGGATGTTGGAAAGGTGCAAAGTGGCAGAAGGTGGAAAGATGTTGGAATAGTTTTTAGACCCGGGCTTCTTGAAGCGGTGTAAGGAGGAGTTGCTGTAGTCTTTGGTAAGGCCCTGGTCCTCATGGCCTTCACGAGGAAGCTGGACACTGGTGTGTTTGGAAAGTGTAATCCGAAGAGGACTTCCGTGCAGCCTCTGGCCGTTCAGGTGGCTCATAGCTGCAAAGTAAAGGTTTTAGTCAACTCTTGAATGGATTCATTTCATGTTCTGCCCTTCTTCTTTTTTTATCTTCTTATCCAATAACAATAATAATAATAGCAACATCTACTTGTTGAATATCTGCTTTAGATAGAAAATCCTATTATAAATATTGCTTCAAAATCTCTAACCTTTAAAGATTATCCTGTGTAGTCTTCTCAACCACATTTTTATTATGAAGATCTGGTCAGGGGTGGTTTTACATATAAAGACACCACCGTGGACCACACTGAACATGGACAGAACGTTACCTAGCTGCGCCTGGGTACTGTCGCTCATCTGGACCAGAGCGTTTTCCTTCTTGTTGAAGAGGATCTTCACTCTCATCACATCGCCATAAACACCTTGACACACAGCACAATATAAAAATAATGTCATTAAGTGCTTTAATTTAAGTCCCACTATACAATTTTCTAAACATGGAGCAACACCCATAAACCCTAGAAGAAGTGTGTGTGAAGCAGATCTGCATGAAGCCTGCTAAGCCACTGCCCCTTCATATTACTGGTAGATACAACTTCTGGGAAGATTAAACGGGGGATGGGATTACTTTAACTAGGAAATGACATTAACTAGGAAGGAGGTCAGGAATAGTAGTCATTGCTGACATAATTAAATGGGAACACTTGCATATTGTAGGCAGGTATTCCTGAATGATTATTCACAGGAAATGCAAGTTAAGAAATTAAAGACAAGGGTCAGAGGGGGGAAATAATGGCAGATTACACCATTTAGATGCTGAATTATGGGGTTTGATGAAACAAAACCAAGCGCAGCTGCTTCAGCACTGAGGACATGCAAACTGAAAGAAAAACCCTGCATGCAAACTTAAACAGAGGCTCAGTGAACTGAAATAAAAACACACAATACGTGCAGCTCTTCAGAGTTTGCATAAGATCCAAACAGGTGGTTTGAAAACATGAGTATTTTCTTAATGTCGGATAGCAGCAGAAGCCCTTTCGGAAGGAAATCTAAATTTTTTTTTTTTTTTGGCACCATAAAATTTGCTGATCGGAAAACCAGAGTAGAAAATACATGAAACTATACATTATGTGTAGGTTCTAGTTCAGTAATTTTATTTAAACATTAGGTCACTCACTCACTGACATTTACTATCCAAAAGACTACAATAAAAAGGATGTAGAATAAAAAGACACAGTAAGTTTACGATGATTTCTATATATTCTTACTACTTTAATTATTCATATGTTTTTCCATTACATTTAATTAAATTAGTATTTTAACTACTACATTTTTATTATGATCAGACTTCATTATTTTTTTTTTTTTCTATAATGAGCTAAAATAACTTAAGTTTAGCAGGAGAGCAGACTTACAACTCAGTCATATGGGTGTTAGATTCTTACTAGAAATTTTTAGCTATCCCCCCAAAACCAGAATCAGTCAGTGAGATGGACTTAGAATAAAGTTTACTGATAGTAAACAAACATTTTAAACATCACATTCTTAAAACAGCCTCCAAAAGTAATTAAAATAACACGTTCAAAATAAAGCTCATATAGTTCTCAAAGTAAAAGCATTGCTAAGGTTAAGAGTTTGGGTTTGGTTAATGATGGTAACAGCTTATACATCGTTGGTAGAAATGAAGTTAGAAAGTTACCATATGCTACCGTTTCATTTATATTTAGCACAGCAAATGGTCGGTTTGCTGGCTTTTGATAGCCAACATGATAATATCAGCATCTTAGCTTATCAGGATATTCAATAAGCAAAGCATACAAACTGCTGCTGGAGCAGCAGTGTGTGGTGTTGCACAGCAAGGGAGGAATAAAGAAAAACTGCATAGAGGAATGATAATAATACCTAGCTTTTGTGCAGTAGATAATGTTTTTCCATCTGAAAGTTGGTTGGGTTTTTTTATTTAATGCTTTCATTGTTTCTAATGTTTTTCCAGACTTCTGCTAAACATTAAGGTCCAATGTTGATGGACATTACTGAGAGTTGGAGTTTTTTTGCTGTTTTTTTTTTTTTTTTTATATAAAATGTGCAAACCAAGGGATAAATGAGAACATTTTTATTGGCTATAACCTATTTATGGTAAGAGATATGAGTAAAACATCTCTAAATGAATGAATAAACCAGTGTTAAATGCAAAAAAGAGACAGGAGCACCAAAGTTTAAGTTTAAATTGCAGACAAATTTTTACAAATAATTAAAAATTCTCATCACTTCTCTATTCTGTCCATTTGTTTTTGTCTTTTTAATCAAGATGTTCTACTATGTTTTTGTAGTTTTTTTTAAATTTTGTAATGTTTTGTAAGGAAACATCAAATTTCACACCAAGCTCAAAGTAACAGTTTTGTGAGAATGTGTCATCTTTGAATTTTTTGATTAAGCAAACGTCTGAGACAAAGCTCCACGTATCGTAAATAAACTCAAATCAACACAAAAGATCGAACAAAACAAGCAGACACTCATTTATCACGAATCAAGAAAAAAGTAATAAAATCTCAAAAACAAAGAAAAAAAAATCCAGAACATCCCGGAGGTACTGATAATTCAAAATAAGAAGCTAGTGACAACATACCGAAGAGAATAAAGAGGCAGTGGGGCGTAACTCTCTTTAAAGACAGCAGAGAAGGCAGCGGAGGGACAGGACAGGTAAAGGTGGGAGGGCAGGACAGGTGGAGGGTCCGAGGCGTTTCCATGGCAACAAATTAAAAGGGGAAGAGAAAAAAAAAAAGACAGGTGAGGGGTCAATCAGAAGGATAAATTACCTTTGGAGAGGAGGGGTTAGATAATGTCAAAATAAGATCATTTTAAACATGACTGAACAGGTGTGCATTTTCTGCAGCTGTAGGGGGAAGAGGGGTATGGAGGATGATTTCATGATAGGAAGTCACATGGCGAAACAATAAAAACATCAGAGAGCAAAACCTTAGGGGAAATGGCTGTGTTTGTGTTTTAGCGGCAACAATCTGGGGATGGATCAATTTTAGTTCAGATGGGCTGCAGAATTGCTGCATTGAATAGTTTTTTTTTACCATTTTGGTTATTCTGATGAAATATATGGATTCCATTTGCATGCAATTTTGGGTGTAAAATAACTGTGGTGCTCTTCAGTGAAGGCTTCACACGGAGCAGACGGCTCACCTCAGGGTTCAGGTTGCTGACTAACAGGACCGAGTGTCCTGCAGGGAAGGTGGGGAATCCCAGCCTGGCAGCAGTGGGGAGGGTCAGAGAGGCCAGCCCTCCAGGAAGAGCAGGGACTGTCAGGCCTGGATAGTGGGAGGACACTGAGAGAGGTGGAAGGAATAAAAAAAACAAACTAAAACTGCACAAAAATACCTGATTCAAACACTAAAAATACATAAACTATAGATCAAAATTGTGTGTTTATTCTGTCAGCTTCACTAAAACTAACTAGTTAAATTAAAAATGCTTTTTTTAGGTTAGGGTTAGCATTTGACTCTGCCAAGTTAAACCAGTGAAGCATTCACCCAGACTTAAATACAGATCAGACTGGAATACAACAGCTGTAACAATGGTCTTCCATTGGCCGCAGCTTCCCTTCAGGTGGGACTCACCTGCTGGCTGGATTGTAAAAGTTGGAGTAAAAGCGTGAGTTGCTCCGGGGTACGGTGAAGCCGAGATGATTCCTGGAGCTACCGAGAAGAAAAAGCTTAGTTTTTACCAATAACCACACAGCCTATTAATACAGCATTGCTTTCTGTTGTCATGGAGATAAAGGAAGATGCAGACATCTTCTGAATTATCTTAACATCGTTTTCTTCTATTCTTTTCAGCAATTTTTTTTTTACCCATTTAAACCTTAATTCCTGAAGATGTCTTCAATAAACATGACCTTTCAGGTCAACCTGAAGTTGCTTCTCTAATGCTCGTATGTTATGGGGTGAAGGGGGAGTCCTTACCAAACCCTGCAGCCATGGCAGGATGCTCCAAGCTGTCTCCAGATGGCAGCTCTGGCCTGGTGAAGTCCCGGCTCTTCTCATTATTGTATTTGACGTTAAGGCTAGTGAGTTTGGAGAAACTAATCCTCAGGGTACAGCAACCGTTGTAGATGTTTTGTCCATCAAGAGACTGAAGCACAAGAGCACCAATGTCCCCCATCAGGACTCTGTCCAATGAAAGTAACAGAAACTCTGAGATGTAAAGTTACCAACTGCTGCTCACCAGTTTGGCTGCCTGGGCAGATGATCCGTCTGAATACTGCAGCAGGGCCTGGAACTGATTGTTCTTGGTGAAAATGATGATCCTCAGCACAGTGCCGAACTTTGAGAAGATCTGAACGTCAAACAGGAGCAGATAAAGAGCAGAGTCAGGGGGACAGTGTGAGCGGAAGAGTTAATATCGCTGGACAAATAAAACTGAGCCAAAATTAAGAAAAGATGCTTATTTCCATTGTGCTGCCATTTGTGTTTCAAGTGACCGTGATTCAGCACAGGAGAACCAGTTGTTAACTGGTCCAATACCGTCACACCGTCCTATACATGCACTAATCTTCCTCTACTGCACCACAATAGAGCAACATCTGAATATTTGCATTTGCAAGCCGAACTTTACTGCAAAGTTAGTGAGATTGAAAGAGTTTTACATATAGATCTCTGCTTTGTATCTGTAAATACAAACTGTTTTTACACAGAGAATCAAAGAATGCACACCATGAGGTGATGCTGGTCAGACAATTTGGTTTACAATGTGAAAATTTGCATTTACAGCTTAACATTTAGAGGACAAACATATATGACTGGAATTTTTCTTTAATGCTAGGTCAGTGCAGTCATACTCTATAAACAGAGGCTGCTTGAGCTAAGTGTGCATTCGACTGTAGGAGGCGTGGCTTCCAGCTCAATCAGAAGGTAATCGTGGGGAAATCTCAATCCTCAATTAAGAGAAGTTACAAACTTTTGATTTTGAAAAGCATTCCTGTGCATGGAGACAGTAAGTTTTTTAAATCCAGTTTCACTGCAAGCAGCTGCTTCATTTATTAACTCTCTTTTAAACAGATCACCATCATGATAAACTGATCCGTGATTCACACCAGCAGCACAACAACAAACAGACAGTTTTAGAGAGAGATTTTATAATCCATCTGGTGATAAACAGACCAACAGCAGCACATTCAACTACTTAAGTGCTGTGAAAAAGATTTCAAAATAAACTCAAGGAAGATAAATGTCACAGTTACTCATAAGTTCATTAATGTTGGAATTCTGTTTTTTTTTTTTTACCATTTCTATTCTTTGGTTTTAAAATGAATCTGTCATAAACTAGATTAAACTCTGAATGTAAACATTGTCCCTACAATGTTTAGATGCGCTGATGAGTCTGCTTTTGGCTACTGGTGGTACTGGGTTGGTCTTTCATTGCTGCAAAGTAAGCAATAGTTTACCAATGGAACCACTTTGGTGGAAAATACCAACTAATTTAGTTTTCAGCCAACAATCCTAATAATAAACAGTTTGGAGCCAAGAATTACATTTCCCCTCCATTATATTTTCCCATTAGTATGTTTTAGATATCCATCTTCAGGCACACCAGCTCCACTCATAGTCTGCAAACACAGTTCAGTTTTTTTGTCCCTGTCCTTAGGTGTGTGGATGTATGCTTGGCTGTGCTGTCCCTTAGTTCCCCGTGATTGATTGGTGACCTTTGGTCCCCACCCCTAAAAAAAATCTCTTGCCCGTTCAACTAATTTTGAATAATAATACTTAATGTTATATAAGTATAATAGGATTAATCTATTACACTGCTGCTTCTGTGAATGTCTTCTTACCTGGCAAAGTGCATCCAAAGTCACTGGATACAGCAGGTTCTCCACCACCACCCTCAGCACCGTGCTTGGAGCTACCATGGGCGTCTCCACGTGGGAGGAGCTGAGGGCCCTTAGAGCTGCCTGGGCCCTCTGACAGAGACAGAGCAGTTGAACAGGGGCCGATAGAAGCCAAGATACAAGTATGTGTGGGTCAAAGAGTTACCTCCTGGTTGGGAGAGTTGTCAGTTTTTAACTCCTTGTGGTTGGAGAACTGAACGTAGACTGGTTGGTGTCTGACGACGGGCATCACAGTGGAGTAATAACCCACCATGTTCTGAGCCGCTTCCTCTGAATTCATCTCCAAGAAGGCCTGAGGGGACAGATTGGGACAAACAGTTCAACTTTTCTGCCGAGAAAATATTTAAAGAATGTCATTCTGCTTTAAATTAACTGTTTACATTTTTCATCCAGCTAAAGTATTGATTTACAACTTTACAATCCTAATTTTTGTAGCATCTGTTTTTGACATTGTTGAGATTTAAATTAGAGGTACCCCTAATCTTGTTCAACTCATTTTCATTTGTTTATCAGCTTTCTAATTCCCAGATCCAGCGAGCATTCCAGGCTGTAAATAGCTTATGCGGATAAAAATCTGTTGAATACAACTATTGTCCCTCTTTAATTCATGGGTACAGGTAACATGTAAATCAACTGTGCTTTTAAACTGTATATGATTAAAAAAAAAACTATAATCAATCAAAGGCATCATAAATTTTGAGGAGGTTCTAGTTTTTGCGATTTTTCAACACTTCCCACTTTTGCCATTTTGGTGTAATTTCCCCCGACAACAAAAAAAGCTGTTAGTTTCCATCTACAGCAGGTTGAGACAAAAAAAAGTGAACCTACAGAGCACTGAAGGTCACTAGAGTTTATATGGATAAATATTGTTACACTCCCTCTCTCCCTGCTTGACTCCCTCTGGCCTTGTAGCACACTTCCATTTTGAAGAGCTAGTTGGCAGCTTTTTATATAACTGGTGCTTTTAATAAATTGTCTCTTCCTTTTCTTTCCGTCTGATTTTTGCAATTGCAGCAGTTTGCTTTTCCAGTGCTTTCTGTTGCATTTGTTTTATGTTTGTATTTTATGAATCTTGCATCATTCATGAGTTTGATGCAGACTTTTCATTTGGTCATTTGCTGTGTTCCAGAACTTGAAGGCCACCAATAAACCATTCTCTCAGGACAAATTCATACACAGTTTCATAGAAATAAAGAGATTGAGATTCAAATCTAGCTAAAGTCTGCTGATCCCATGATGTCAACAGCAGAGTTCCCGCATAGCGGGAAAATGCATTGAAAATTATCACTGCTACACTGAAATTAGGACAATAGGTTCATTTCTTTATGGCATCTGGGCTCAATTCAGTGCAACATCTCCCCGTTAACTCAGACACACACTCAGTGTGATGCCAATGCCCTACTGCGGACAGAGAGAGAAACCTTTGAAGGTTTGGATGGGGTGTTCAGGTGAAGAATGATTCAAGCCAAAGCAGCTGATGGTCAGACAGTTTTTTTTATTGTCTAACCAAGAAAATGAGGCATCATTCCTGCACCTGTGCGTAGCTGCTACCACCTCCCCCATGCGCGGCTATTTTAAGGGGAAATGTTATTGTCATTTGCCAATATGAAGAAACCAAAAACATACAAACGAAATAAGATTGATCTTAATTAGGGGATTAAGATTAAGATATGGGATAAGCAGGGGAAAAATAAAAATAAAACCATTAACAGGTAAAAATGATCTCAGGAAATGAGGCAGTCTGCATGGAACTGCTGGCTTTTCAGGAATCCCTCTGCCAGAGCGATCCTGTAGAAACCTCGTCCTGAGGAAACAAAGCACACTGAGGAAGGTTAAAACTTTACCTGGTTTTTGGCTTTCAGCATCAGCAGGTTGGTGACGTCCCCGAAAGGCAGGCCAAGGCTGATCACCTCGGCCTCTGTGATGTCGCCAGGAAGCTTGCGAATGTGGATGACCCGCGATGGCTGAGTGGGACCTCTTATGTCACCTTTGAACTTCTTGCTATCGTTGCCATTTGCTGCAGAAGTAAGACATCAAAATGGTTTAAGACAAAGAAAGAAACTGTTGAGGTCAATTATATCCCCCAACTGCTGCAGAGGCAGCATAAAAAGTCAGGCTTTAAGCTTTCATTTACTGACCTGTGGTGCTCATGATATACGGGCCGTTGGAGACGCTGGAGAATAGCTCGTCAGATCCTCTCTGGGAAAAAAGAAAATGAATTATGTTTAAGGTCAAACACAACATATTATGGCTAGATTATAGTGTGAAATAAAGGAAAGAGAAATAAGATATTTTTGATCAAAAGACTGGGAAAACCATATGTTCAATAAAGAGGGCATTTTCATATCTCTGTTGCAAGTAGGAACCCATGATTACATTATCCTAATTTATTAGAAACAAAATGATCGTTTCTACTTTTGTTACCACAGTATTTGTTGGAAAGGCCCAAATAAACCCAGTTTTGTTTCTCAAATAAATAAATTAACCTTTCTCTGTTTCACTCATTGATTGAAATCAAATTACGTTTTAGAAATCTAAAACCATTGCTGGTTAAAGGAGTGCCGTCTATTCACAGCATGTAGTGATGCAGTCATACCCCACTATCAGCAGACAGCACCCATGAAGCAACATCTCTCACAGGTCTAAACCTTTTTTATATAAATTTAAAAAACTAAGCTGGCACAACACAGACTCCAAACGTGCAACGTCACCCTATCATCACCTGCAGGCTGCAGAACCAGAACCTGTTCTGAAACTCCCTCCTCCAGCAGCAGCCCGGGGGGTAAATTCTTTAGTTGAGGAGCTCAATTAAGAACAGATGTTGACAAACAGGCAACGCCTCCTTTAGTAAACTAACCGAACTCTCCCAATCTCCTGCTGCAACATCTAGACCTGATTTTTGGAGCTAAGCAGAACATTCTTTGCAGTCTAACAATTAAAGTCCAACCATAAAAGTCTGCTTAAGCCTTAGGTGACACAGAAAGGTTTATTTTAAACTGCAAATCCATCCAGTTGCTTTGTTACATGTATGTTCAGCAATTAAATACAACTTTCACACACAATACACAACTGCTTCTATCAACTTTTAAGAATATCAAGAGTTCCCACCTTAAAACTAAGGCTTTTATGGTCTAGAGTGCGGAGCAGACCAAGCATGTACCAACAAAAACAGTCCTTAATATCTACAGTTACAAAGAGAATTAACTTCTGATCTTTGCATTTTTTGAAGATAACTTCAATAACTTTTAACATTTAGGAGGAAAGAAAAGAAAGAAATCTGTTAAGCCTTAGATTTAACTTTATTTACAGTATCCCTTGGGATTACTCCTTCAGAGAAATTTTGATTCCAGTAGCTTATATAGGGTACAAAGAGTTAAAGCAAGATGCCATTAAAGATAAAAAATACCATAGACAATATAAAAAGAGAGTACCTAGTACAAAAAAGCATCAAAAAAGAAAAAAAGTTGTACTGTCCTGAAACATTTCCCTTAGATATAAAAATAACTGCACAGTAGAGCAAAGGGAAGACTACACATTAGCGGACTTTGGTTATTTTACTTGTATTGCTGAGATGTACTGACCATATAAATAAGTAAAAATTATTCAGACTAAACAGTAGTTGACTTGGATTATTGCACTTGTACTGCAGAGATGTACTGACCTTATAAATACAAAAAAGTAAAAATAAAATAAATAAATAATAATAAAAAAAAAATAATAATAATAAGATAAATAAAAATAAGTAAAAAAAAAAAATCACACAGACTACAGTTTATATATTCTACTGTCAGAAACATTCAACCACACCTTTAATCTACCCAGTTCTAACCTATATACCATATATTATATCATTTCCACTGTTTTATACAAAGAGTCTTTGATAACATTTAGTAATAAAAGATGAGAATATTTTCAAATTACACTGTTGCCTTTTAAACCTTAATATCTGTAAAGTATGTGAAGCTGATAGAATTGATTTAAGAAAAATATCAGCAAGCAAAGAAAAAGTACATGTACTCAATGGTCATCCTGGTGAATAAAAAAAGCTGGAGAGGCTCCATTTACACAGCAGAAAACACACACAGAAACCCAAAGGTCCAACACGGTGAAGTAGAAGAACCAGACGCCAAAGGAAAAAGTTTAACAGACATTAATAAAGTCTGAAGAACCATTACTGAACAAGACTTTTTAAAAGATAAAACTAATGTAGTTGCCAAGTAGAAAATAAAAAAGATGAACCATGACTGTTACATTACATTTTTCTACTTTCAAAGTCCAGTTTAGCTGCTGTCATCATTTCAATTTGGAGAAACCTAATTTTTTTTTTTTTTTTTGCACCAAGCTGCTTGGATCTTCTTACCAATCCTCCCATGAATAATAAAGCAGTAGAAACCTGAGCCCTTCCCTCTGCTGACCCCTCGTATCGCCAGCTCATCTGACAGATGCCGAGTCACGGCTGGACCCTGCCCCCAGGCTGCCCTTGGAGACAAAAGAGCCACAGCTCCAAGCAGCAACAAACGGCCCTCCAGGCATGAAATGACTAACAGCAGAGGAACCACAGCCCTAATAAAGGTGATGCTGCAGAGCGCATGCAGCTCGTCTCCGCAGTGAGATGTTTAAGCTGATACGGATATGGACCCAGCAGCATGACAAGGAAACAGCTGACTGTCAGTGCAGAGAAGCTAGAATATTACTGAACTATTTTTGTCTCCGTGTTTGCATATCCAAAGTATCGAAACGGTTCCTTGACCTCAGCGTCAACAAATATCTACAGGCTTAAATCAAATCTAAAGGAGCCCTTTAATTCAGCCCTTTTTATTTCATCACTCAGCAATACAGGTGAGAAACTGGAAGCTCATCAGTATGAAAAGACCGAAACTCCTCATCTAACAGAGCTGATCCCAATCCAGCCGAGCCAATTAAATCTGAAGAAGTGTTTGTAGATCAATATAAAATTGTCCCATTTACGAATACTTCCACATAGAACAACCATTTCTGGGGCTAAGGGATCAAACACCAAAAGAGTCCTTTGCTGAGACATTCAACTTGTTTCTGTTTCTGTGCTCCCCTAGAGTCTTCTACCTTTTAAAAGAGTTAGTTATCAAATGTAAGTTTTTACACGATAAACTGCCCAGTTTACCGAAGGTTACCAATAATTACTGAAGAAATATTTAATTTTCAGAATAGTCTATTTTAGAACAATTTTACTGTAGAAAGTCAGGATTAAGTTAAACAGACAGTAGCAATGAACCTAACTAAGCCATCCCCTGGCCTCCCTGCTGGGGTTCTTCTGCAGCAACGATTAAATGACACATTTGTCCTCTAAGAGATTTCCTTTCCCCACAGCCAATCTAACATTTGAATAAATACTCCATAAAACTTCCGATCTGGTTTAGGACATAAACAATATGTCTTGTGTCAGTTGTTTTATTTAGAACATCTCAATAATTAAATATATTCTTTTCCACCTGAGCTTTCATTCTGCTGGTTAATATCAGGTTGTCGTTGAGACCAGACACTCAACCAAAAGGCATTGCTTTGTTCGTTTCTCAGAGCCCTGAGGTGAAACAAGTTTATGAAAACTCACATTTACTGAATGCCATCATTGAGCAAACATGTGGATAAAAAAGTCGGTATAACACAAGCTGATGCTAGCAGCGACATGTCCAATGAACAGAGGAGATGCCAGGTGTTACTGATTTACAGCAGAGAGAAGAGACGGAGACATGTTGACTTCATGCTGCCGCTAAACAGAGAAGTTGCTGCTGCAGAATAAATGCATGCAGCCTGATGATACCATGGAGGACGTAGTCAGTCCAGTGCACAAAAAGATGGCTGACATCTTGGGGTCAAGAATAAATATAGATCGCAGGATTCATGTTAGAGATTAAAAGTTCTGTTCTGGTTTAGGGTCAGAAAGCAATAGGAACTGAAAACAATTCTACTCAAGTCATTAAAAGAGAATAAATGATCATCGTTAACAGCAGGATACCAAATGATGAAAAGTTTATGATTTTTGTGACAAATTTTCAGTGAAGCAAACAGTTAATAATTTTTTTTCTGGCTGCCATTTTGGATTTTAAAACTAGGTTTGTGAAAAAGCTTTACCAGCTGGCAACCCTATGAGACTCTTCATGTTTGGGATGATTAATGTATCTCTTCTCTGCAGAAATCTGACTGGTTTGATGGTTTCATTAAATTCTGCATGTTAACTAATGTTAAAAAATGTTGAGGCAGCTGTATTGAACAGACTTTAAAGGTGAAAAGTGTGGCCCCTTTAAGGCTGAGGATCTGTCTTAAGAGCATCCAATTTATTCTGCATTCCAGGTTTAAATGTTTTGGATAATTGAGAGAAACCAAAGAAAATCAGTTTTAAATTATCCTTGGCCAGAAAAATAGATAAAAACTTGAAAAGGTTATGTTCAGTATGGAGACAAACTGTTCAGATATTAATTCCTGATAAGGTGCAGACCTATTTAAATGACTTATTTAATTAATACGCAATATTTTCATGGCCAAATCACACACTCTAAACACATGAATTTTATTTTTTTTTGTTTACTGACTTTTTTCTACCCAACATTCGATTTTTGGGAATACGCAACAGAAATGGATCACTCTTCACATTCACTCGCAGTGAGAATCTGGGAAAACTGTTATTCAAACCCGGAGCTTCTCTGTATTTTTCCAAGGATCATCCAAGGCGGTTCCTGAGCCCAAAGTGCCTCTCTAACCTGGTGTAAGTAGTCTGCAAGGCCTCAGATTACTCGCCCAAGGCCGGAGGAGGAAACAGGAGAGCTGCTATCACCAAAGGACACCTCCCCCACTCATCCCATCACTTCCTGCTCTCTGATCCCAGTCACTCCTCTGCATTCATGTGGTTTGGCCTCAGAAATGAGTTTTTATCCTGAAACTTGAAGGTGTTTCTACTGTTCTGCTGCCAGATATTCACTGATTACCGCCAAGGAATGTGAGCAAAGTCTCAGCAGACTTCAGGTGTGAACATTGTTGGTTACGCACCAACAATGCTGTCACTAAAAAAAAAACGCAGCCTATTAAACACAGAAAAATAAAACCAGCTAAAATCTAAAGGATTCAAGAGATTTGTGAACTAAGTAAAACCTTATTTTAAAAAATGTGCAAGAAACATTTCTGATCTTTTATTTTCACTTTGTCAGCTTTGTGTTTTACGTCATGTAAAAAGTAAGTAAAATATGACTGTCACATCTAACCACTGGCTACAAGACAGCTGTGGAGCTTTGAAGTGGTTTCTAAACCTTATGTACACCAACAGAAAACAGAGCAACCCTGCAGCTCAACATATTGCAGAAATGTTCACCATACCGCCATTTTATACAGAAACTATTTATTGTGAAATTTCTGGTTAAAGTGGTACAGCTTCCCAGCAGAGCTGCATACCCAAATATTTAAAACTTTCACACTAAGCACTGCAGGAATTTATCGTAAAGGAGGGCTATGAGACACAGGGCAGGAATAATTACAAATGCAAGTATTTTCTTACTTTAAACAGAGCATTCTATTAAAGTCTCATGTGATCGGATCCATTGGCATTGTCTAAAATAAAACAACGTCATGAAACAACAACTTGTTTTTTAGCAGATCGTCTGCTGTAAATCCCTCAACACATATCTTTCAGTTTAACAATTTATAATTACTGGATTCCTATGACAAAATTCAGATTGCCGTTCACAAACCTTTACCTGCACTCATCAGAAGAAACAAAACATATGAGATTATATAAAGGTGAATGATGTATATTAGGCTGTTCCTAAATCATTCATCAGGAAAGTTGAGTTTCCCGAGTTTCATTGACTTTTATTACAATTAGATTACCTTTAATTGATTTTCAGCTGACCAGATGGAAACTATTAAGAAAAGAAATAGATATATATAAGGGGGGGTCACGGCCCAGTGGTTCGAGCAGTGCGCTTGTGCTTTTAGATGGTTTCAAGTACCCGGTTCGATCCCCACGGCCTCCGCTCTGGCTCCCTGTGCAAAACCCTTAACCCCACACTGCTCCCTGGGCACCGCAGAGTGGCAGCCCACTGCTTCCCAAATGATGAGTTAAATGTAGAGGCAAATTGCTCCAATGTGATATCAATAAAGTTCAATTATTTTATATTTTCCTAATAAGTGAACAAACCACACCCAAGAGGTTCCAGGTTGGACTAAAAAAAACTTTCCATGTGGACACCTACACTGAATAAAACCTAGAAATTAGTTAGTCTAAAATCAAAAACAGCAAGAAGCTGCTGAATAGCAAAAATTATTTTTCATGGAAAACATCTGCTCTTCAATTAAAAACATGAGAACCAAGCTTTCAGTAAATAACACAAAGGCTTAGTCTTCAAGCTTGAGATCGCTGTCTGCCATCAAACAACACATTTTTTTTATTCCAGACTATTAAATAACCAAGTTCTCAAGAACAGGTTTCAGTTGTAGTGAAGCTAGCTGCATCGATCATCAGATTTGGGTTGGGACCACACTGGAGTCACATACCTGACAACTTCTTTATCTGAAATGATTGTCCATTAGAACATGAATTTGAAGCCATGAGGACTTGTAGAAGACTTGAGACATGCCAGTCTTGACCTAAAGGTATAGTGGAGGGTTTTCTTTAATTTTTGAAAAGACCTGCCCACGGTACATGCACAACCCTATAACCACTGCAGAGAGGAAACTCCTATTAAACACGTGCAAGAGCTGCACACCCCATTTCTCTTTGTGCACGCTTTCTTTAAAAGTTGCCATTTGCATCGCTCATAAAAGTTTACTTTCCAAAAGAAGATTTGCAATTTTCCACTATGTCAGAATCACTACCGGTAAGTGAAAATAGGGATGAGCATGTAGGATGGCCTTATGTAAACATATCACCAGAATTATTGGCAATTAGGAGGACCATTTGTTCTGATAAACCACCCGGAAAAAAGAACATCCTCCACTATACATTTAAGACTGAACGGAGAAATACGATACTCATCTCGACATGTAGCAGGCCATGGAAATGCTTTATCCGGCTATCACGCTCGCTAACATGGATCAATTATAATAGTTCTCCTTTTTTATGGTCCATTTTTTAAGCACTTGCCGTCTCTATCTCTAACAGCACAACATTCAAATTAGCCATCTAAACAAAAGCTGATGCCCACGGCAACGGCGACAGCATCCAACAATGCACTGCAAGATCACATGCATCACACTTTGTTTGCAGAGCCGCAAAAATCTGACTAAATTAGAACTGGATCTCTGTTTTGTTTTGTTATCAAAGACCTGAGTTTAATAATCTGACTGAGTGAGAAGGAAGGAGGTGTGATCATCGATTCTGAGGGAGCTTAAATGTTTAAAAGCAACGCTCTGTTTCTTTAGCCATACTAAATAATGAGATTAATCCTCAATCTTTTGCTGGAATGTGATTTTAAAGCCCAGGCAGCTGCCACATTAATTATACTAAGAATCCAGAGTTGTTTCCAGATGGCAGGGTTTCCGTTCGGTCAGAAACCAGTGACGATCACAACAGCAAACAAAGCAACAAACCAGGGCTGAGGAAAGGAAAACGGGAGAAAGAAGCAGAGGTGCCTACCTTAGTACCAACTGTTATATCGTGGTGGACACTGCTGAAAAGAGAAGAAAGCATGTTAGAAGCAGCAGGGAGAAAGAAAAAAAAAATCAACACAAAAAAATCCCCCAAAACAAACAAAAACAGGAAGAAAATTAACAAGGTTATAGAGATGCTGTAAAGGGAGAGGCAGGGAGACAGGAGCCCAGCGGAGCAGGGAGGTTCACACAAAGCAGGGCTGCAGCTGTTAGACCCAAAATCCACGACCTTCTGGGGATCCCATCAACAGGACTCCATGGTGTCCTTTATCAGGACCAATACGTTGTAGAACTGCTGTGGTTTAATTTATCAGAAGCACTCATCAATTTATCGTAAAGACCCCATTATAATGAAACAATACCCCTGCCGCCTGGCTCAGAAGTGATACAACGGCCTCTCCAGAACCATGAGTGCGATTTACCATGTGTTTTAGACTAAACTTATAGATATTGTCTCAGTAGATTGGCTGCATTACATAACAAAAATATCAAAGTATAAGTGCATTGATAAAATCAATCAGATTTCACTGGGATTTATTTAACTCAAACTGAAATAAACCTGTTTTTCTATTTGTTCTGGGCAGAAAACTGTTCATTTTACCAAAATCAGAACTGGATTTATCCAAGCTTTCGGGGAACCAAGCAAAAGATCATCACCTATGTAGATGATACTATCATTTATAGATTCATCCATCCATCCATCCATCCATCCATCTTCCTCCGCTTATCCGGGGTCGGGTCGCGGGGGCAGCAGCTAAAGAAGGGAGGCCCAGACTTCCCTCTCCCCAGCCACTTCTTCTAGCCCCTCAGGAGGAACCCCAAGGCGTTCCCAGGCCAGCCGAGAAACAAAGTCTCTCCAGCGTGTCCTGGGTCTTCCCCGAGGCCTCCCCCCGGTGGGACGTGCCCGGAACACCTCACCAGGGAGGCGTCCAGGAGGCATCCTAAACAGATGCCCAAGCCACCTCAACTGGCTCCTCTCGACGTGGAGGAGCAGCGGCTCTACTCCGAGTCCCTCCCGGATGACCGAGCTTCTCACCCTATCTCTAAGGGAGAGCCCTGCCACACTACGGAGGAAACCCATTTCGGCCGCTTGTATCCGCGATCTCGTTCTTTCGGTCATGACCCAGAGTTCATGACCATAGATGAGGGTAGGAACGTAGAAGCTGCAGAAGCTGGCTCTCATTTAAAGATTCATTTATAGATTCAACCAAACAAAAAGCATTAAATTCTCATGACTTTAAAGGAATAGTACACCCAAAACATGATTAGCCTTCATTTTCTACTCACCCCCATGCTGAACAACACTAAAATAAATGTCACACTGTTGAACAAAAAAATAACATAGAAGGAAAAATAGCAGGCAACGGAAATTACCTTGTCTCTACGCTACCTCTCCTCCATTTACTAAATTGTAAAAAAAGAAAAAAAAAAGAATGACCGGCTGACTTTTGGCAGAGAAATGCTTGTTTACTCTGTCTAGTTTACAAAAAGATGAGAACTAAAATACTTAGGTGGTGTTTAGTTTCCATTTCAAACTGGCATAGCAGGACCAGAGGCTGCAAAAACAACAACGAAGGTCCAGTTCAACTATAGATGTAGCTATAGACACACCAGATGGAAAACGTAGAGAAAAGTCAGTGAGTCTCTCAAACATCAGCTTGTGTAAGTGTTTAAAACTTACCATCAATGTCAGATGTTTCTATTTAACAACCATTTACATAGTTAAAGGAATAGTACACCCAAAACATGATTAGCCTTCATTTTCTACTCACCCCCATGCTGAACAACACTCTGGAGTACTTTTTTGATATCTCAAATGCATCTGGAGATCTGGGAGGCTTCTTGCTGTCTGCTGACATTCAAATAATGGAGGTCTATGGTGACCGAGACAGAAAGGTCCATAAAAGTCCACAAAAAACGTGTCAATATTCCTCCATACTGCTCGTCCAATGTATTCCAAGTGTCCTGAGTGGGTAGCATCCAGAATTTACTAGAAACAAAGTCATTTAGAATGTTTTTAGAGCATAAACAGTAGTGTATAGGATTTCCTGAAAGCGCGCACAAGCGCGCTCACGACGCTACGGAAGCCGGCAGATCAAACCAGATGAAAGTGCGCATTCAGCGTCTGCTCTTCCAATAATGCAAGCGTAGAAGAAGAAATGTGCTGTTTACCTGTGCAAAGAAAGAAACATAGAAAGAAAAATATCTGAGGACTTCAGTGTTGAGGAAGAGCATGAGTTCTTTGCCGAGCTGAATGCGCTGGTTTGGTCTGCCGGCTTCCGTAGCGTCGTGAGCGCGCTTTCAGGAAATCCTATACACTACTGTTTATGCTCTAAAAACATTCTAAATTACTTTGTTTCGAGTAAATTCTGGATGCTACCCACTCAGGACACTTGGAATACATTGGACGAGCAGTATGGAGGAATATTGACACGTTTTTTGTGGACTTTTATGGACCTTTCTGTCTCGGTCACCATAGACCTCCATTATTTGAATGTCAGCAGACAGCAAGAAGCCTCCCAGATCTCCAGATGCATTTGAGATATCAAAAAAGTACTCCAGAGTGTTGTTCAGCATGGGGGTGAGTAGAAAATGAAGGCTAATCATGTTTTGGGTGTACTATTCCTTTAACTATGTAAATGGTTGTTAAATAGAAACATCTGACATTGATGGTAAGTTTTAAACACTTACACAAGCTGATGTTTGAGAGACTCACTGACTTTTCTCTACGTTTTCCATCTGGTGTGTCTATAGCTACATCTATAGTTGAACTGGACCTTCGTTGTTGTTTTTGCAGCCTCTGGTCCTGCTATGCCAGTTTGAAATGGAAACTAAACACCACCTAAGTATTTTAGTTCTCATCTTTTTGTAAACTAGAGAGAGTAAACAAGCATTTCTCTGCCAAAAGTCAGCCGGTCATTCTTTTTTTTTTCTTTTTTTACAATTTAGTAAATGGAGGAGAGGTAGCGTAGAGACAAGGTAATTTCCGTTGCCTGCTATTTTTCCTTCTATGTTATTTTTTTGTTCAACAGTGTGACATGTATTTAACCTGCTGCAAAGAGGGCTTTAAAAGCTAATACTAGTTTAGGAGAATTTAGATCAAATTTTACTACATATACTTAAAATAGGTGGAATTTGCATACAAGTGTAACTGATTAAAAGGCTAATGGATAAAAAAATATTAACTCTGTTATAAAATGAAATCTACGACTCTATATGAAGCAGCTCCAACAGTTTTGTAAAAAAAAATCTTCCTGTCAATAAAGGATTTATACAGTAGGGAATTGTAATATGCAAATAAACAGTTATTTGTGTCACCAGAGATGGTAAATGTGTTTGTCATGGCAGCAGTTTTGTCCCTGTTAACTATCTAAATCAAGCAAAAAGGTTTCTGATGGTAGGTTGAAACTTACCCAGATCTGAAGTGGCTCATATTTGTTCCCATATTTGCTGTTTTTTTTTCACACTGAAACATTTTACTAAAGTATATGGAGCTGTTAGATTATTTGAGTTAATATAATTAGAAAACATATTGTTAAATTTGTTGGTTCAGGTAAGGCTGTCAAAGCCGTTGACTGGGAAAGTCATGCTCCATAAAGATGTTAAAAAGAACACAATAGCTGTGACATCAAGTTACAAGTTAGGTTTTAGAAGATTCCAGTAGGAATATGGCTTCTATTTTACAACTCTATTCCTTAGTCCACACAGCAGACATTTATAAATAGAAAAGAATCAGTATTTAGCCAAAATCCATGCTTCCAGCTTCAGAAACCAGTTGTTGGTCTTTATCCATTTAGTAGAGACCTTTAGAGTGAAACTTTCTGCTAACTGGCTCTTATAACACAGTTGGATGCCATTGTGAAATCTTTGCTTAGTTTTAAATGTTGGATGCAAATGAACAGATGTAAGAGATTCCAATCATAGGCATGATAAGGCTGAATGCCAACAATGAATCAGAAGCAGTTTTAATTATTAGCATAAGGGTGTGCAAACATCCAGGTCACTGCAACTTTACATTTTATGTTGCTTTTGTACAGGAAGAATGTGATATTAATGGCAGTACATTTTTTGAAAATATCCACCATGTTCTTATTTTTCAGCATCCCAAACACAAGTATTTTATCAAAGGTGTGTAAACTTTTAGAGAAATGCTGAGGGAGTTACCCAAGATGAGTAAAAACCGGCTGGTCGAGCTAAAGCTGACACAAAGACGAAGCATAAAACTGGAGGGAGGAAGAGCCTGCAGGGCATGCATGAGTCCTGACGAAGCACAAATATTCACAAGGATCATAGAAGTCGCCTGATTGCACTTTAAGGGATCTTTTTTAGTATTCAACACAGTGGACTGGTCATACAACATGAAAGCTGTTATGATGAGCTAAAACTAATCTCAAACAGGGTTTAAGCAATAGAAAATAACATTCCTTTGAAAATGGCTTTAATTGGAAGAATATAAAGTTTCCGTAGCAAACTGATGCAGGTTCAATTTGTGAATAATAGATCTACAGCAGTGGTGAACTGATCGGACACTACTGGAATTTGTAAATACTGATATGAGCATTACAATTTTATATTTATACAACTTTGACCATATTAGGAAACAGTTATTCCACCCTTAATGCTTATGATATGACTATTGCACACTAAAGATTTACTAAACCTTTCACAAACAGCAAGCATGCCGGTAAGAGAAAGACTAGTTCTCCAAAGGCGAGAAACAATCAGACAGATATTTATGAAGATTCTTGCCATTGGTATAGATGCGTGCCCCTGATGAAGCAAAATATTAGATTTTAGGTTTCTAAAAGAGATCCAACCACCCTGAAACACCTTTGCCTATGCTCAATCAAACCCAACAGACAACTGTTTTTTTTTCAAAATGGTAAATATTTCCAAATTTATTAACAGTTCAATACAAAGGCCAATGTAGTCAAACAAGTGGACCTTGTAATTAGTGAAAAAACAACTTCAGCAAATACAACACTGGTAAAGTTAGAGATGTAAAAAGGCATGATTTGCTCCATTCAAGAAGTATCAGGGAATATGAAGATTAAAGGTAAAATTTTTGCTTACACCAAATGTCTTATTTTATGTCAACAACATGCATAATTCTGCATAGAAATGTCACTAAATGTGTTTACGTGAAAACCCCTCATATGTCAACGTTTGTAATGTACTATTCTAATAAGTATTTAATGAGTAAGCACTCCAATTATACTATAACTCTAGAATTACCTTGGAGGTTTCAAGGGGTTAAAATAATCTTAGATTAAACTTAAGTTTAATCTTAACACATTTACAGAACACTGAAAATATGACTAGTTTCATCACGTATAAATATATTTTTCAGCCAAAATTATCTGATGAAAATGAGACTAGTTCTGAAAATATTTTTAATAGTTTGTCATAATTGAGTCAAAAGGCCTTACAATGCTTAAAACCTCACATTTAATACTAACCGAGTCTGACTTTAATTATTTACACCAACTAGATAGTCAGTATATTCAGTTAATTATTACAGCCCATGGCACATAATCTTGTTGCTTGAATTAAATAATTAACACCAAATAAACCTAACCATTTAGCAAGCAAAAAAAGAAAGAAACGAAGAAAGACGAAACCAACCAAATGGTTGTAGTTTCAAAAACATAAATTGCTTCCGTTTACAAAATGAGCCTCTTCACAAAACTTCATGTTTAAATCGCAATAGTTAAGCTGCTTATTCGTTTTTGAAAGCAAAAAAAGTAACTTACATTAACCGTTTCGCTGGAATAATAAATACTAGAAATAGCTCTCTAATTCGGCTTTGACATAACTCGAGTAAGTTGCTTTTTATTTGACTTTTCACTTCCTCAAAGTGACATAACAGCAGCAGTGGGCGTGAGACACACCGTTACCGTAGAGATGAGCTAGAAGTTACAGACTCTTCCATCCAATTGATTATTTATCAGACATTAAACCGGACGGTTGAATGGACTGTGAAGCTCGTTTCTCCACGGAAATAAAATGACATTTTACGACCAGTTCCTGTTAAGAGACTTCTTCCCACAGATAATGGCCCGTTGTGAGGCTAGCAAAGCGGCTAACGTAGCTTCGTTTCCTGTTTTTAGACTAGCACAAACTTCCCCGACAGCTTATCTTCATTACTCAAGTGCCCGATGCTGTTTAGAAAACTACAAAATATTTTAAGATGTTTGTGTATTTGGTCAAAAACTGAAGTAAAAGACACAGAAAACTACATATGCAGGAGTAGTGAAGTCGATGTGATAACTCACCCGTCCATTGCACAACACGGAACTACGAAGCAACAGGTTCCAGCCAGCGGCCAACAGGATTCCCCCATCCAGAAACAAGTATCGACCGACAAAATGGCAGGAGGCGGACCTGTGATTGGACAGGATTATTAATAATGTGGGAGTTGCTTTTAAGAGACAAGCTATGATTGGCTGAGGCGCAGCAACAAAGAAGATATGTCCAAAACATCAAAGATTGTCTATGCAAAAGATGTACCCCTCTGAACTGGAAAAGTCAATTTACCCTGCTAGACCAGTGGGCGTTGTCCCGAAAAACAAACGCAAACCCACAATTTTAAACCATGGACGCCCCTTATTAGAATTAGAATGGGCTTGAAAAGTATCAAAGGGAAAATGTTTAAAATGAGATAACAAAATCAAGTTTCAAAATAGCTATTCTGAGTGTTTTCCCTTTTTTCAATTATGAGGTAAGGTTTAATTGCGAATATGAAAGAGTTACAATATTGCAATTATGATACAAAAAGCCATGGTTACATTTGTTTTTGTTAGATTTCATCCATAGCTTTAAGGTCTGTACTGAAATTTACAACAAACATTCTCTTAACAATTCTAGTTACGGTTTTAAAAAAAATGAAATCATTAACATTCTATTTTTTTTTCAGAGTGTCAGATTTAATACAGAAGATCTTGCGGACCGTTTGCATTGTATTTTTTGACAAAAAGAGCGCTACTGCAGGTCATTCATTCCTGCTGCCATCAGACTCTACAATGCGACTCTACAAGGCAATAACTTGTGCAATGTATAATGTGCAATTACTATTTTTTATCCTGTGCAATAACGTGTTTCTCTATGTTTAACACCCAGTACAATAACTATATATATATAAATATCCATCTAAGTAAATACTAGGGTTGCGCCAATGCCAATTTTTGGCCCTGATACCGATACTTGGCTGTGCAGTATTGGCTGATACCATACCGATTCCATCTGTTTGAAATTGATGTGTGTGTGTATAGATGAAGAACTGCATGCTACTTGGATGTAAAATAATTGCCATCATGGCTTTGTCAAGCTGCTTCCTACCTTTGTGAAGCAGGAAAAAGACTAATACAAAGTGAATCCAGTAGAACTTTTTATTGCCTACCTGGAATGGGTGACAATAGTTGAATAAACTTTTGGCTCTCAAAATAGTATTGGTGCCCTAGTTGTCGATACTTGCCGATAGCGATATCACCATTTCAGTGCAGTATCGGGGCCCCGTCTGATACTGGTATCGGTGCAACACTAATAAACACCCATGTAAACTCCTTCTTCTCCTTTGACTATTTGAGCTGATGTAACAAGTAAATTTCTCCACTGAGATCACTAAAGGCAATCAATCAATCAAGTTTTAAGGCGTTTTGTGTATTCCCTTCTTTCTCTCTTTGCCTGTTTTCTTTCTGATTACACATAAATAAAGTGTTCCTAGAAAAGTAGAAATATCTAAAAAGATATAAAGTTAGAATTCTACATTTTTACATCAACGGTTTAAAATCAGTGTATTTAAATGCATTCACAATACCATCTTTAAACTAAATTTAGAAGCCAGAAAGCAATAGATTTGAGTAGAAAAGGCTATTACATGTAGAAAAGTTTACATTTGTTAGATCGGATGAAGGAAGACTGAAAAAATTTGGAGATGCTTTCATTTTAAAGGGACATAAGGTTCAATATAAAACTCAAATGACTAGTTTTATGTTTTTATGCTTGTCATCTAAACAAAAAATGTGGGTGAACTTCAAATAAAAAATAATTTTAAAATCATACCAGACTCTTATGACCCTGAATACAAAAATATAAAAATTAGCTAGGTTAACAAGAGGCAGATTCTGGTGATGGGAAATGCATAATTTTTTTTAATATATAATCTTTTTGGCTTCTGACAATAAATCACAAACATGTGACAAAGAATCAAATTGAAAACAACTCAGAAATATTGAAACAATTAAATTTTACATTAATTAAGGGTAATATTCTAAGAAGTTAATAACAGTAAAAAAAATCACAGGTGCTTGGGGAAGATCCCCCTAACATTATACTGCAGGACAAAATAGTAGATTAAAGCTCTGTTACAGAAGAAGTAATATCTGAAATAGATCCTCGGTTCATGTTTTTGAGCTTCCTGTTAGTATACACAAAGCAGTCAGAAAGTCGTGTTTAAGGAACTGAAACGGAAAGAAAAGACTGAAAATGCTCCTCTAAACTTTAATATCAACACTTTAAGTCATTCTGTTCTTGATATCAATGTGCAAAGAAAAGACCACATAAAAAAAAATAAAAATAACGACCAGATACAATATGATCCTTTCAAAAGCATTACAATAGCACTGAGTAGCTGGTTTTCTCTCTCTGCTGGCCTGAAGTCATGTAACACGCTAATAAATAATTAGTCTCTGTCGCTTTTCAGGAAATGGCTCCATGTGACAGTAAATGATCCAGCAGTACACAAATAATTCAGAGGGTGCAAACACAAAGTCCAGTTTTTAAGGCACAGCACCTGTACCTATGGAAATCCATTAAATAAAAAAGTTTTATTCATTGCTTATAGCTGTTTCAAATTCAGAAAATGCAATCATGGATTAGGTTATATTTAGAAAAGTCAACATTACTAATCTGAATGAAAAGGTCACATTAGAAATATTTTAAATTGTTTATCCATCCATCCATCCATCCATCCATCCATCCATCCATCCATCCATCCATCCATCCATCCATCTTCCTCCGCTTATCCGGGGTCGGGTCGCGGGGGCAGCAGCTTAAGAAGGGAGGCCCAGACTTCCCTCTCCCCAGCCACTTCTTCCAGCTCTTTAGGAGGAACCCCAAGGCGTTCCCAGGCCAGCCGAGAAACAAAGTCTCTCCAGCGTGTCCTGGGTCTTCCCCGAGGCCTCCCCCCGGTGGGACGTGCCCGGAACACCTCACCAGGGAGGCGTCCAGGAGGCATCCTAAACAGATGCCTAAGCCATCTCAACTGGCTCCTCTCGACGTGGAGGAGCAGCGGCTCTACTCCGAGTCCCTCCCGGATGACCGAGCTTCTCACCCTATCTCTAAGGGAGAGCCCGGCCACCCTACGGAGGAAACCCATTTCGGCCGCTTGTATCCGCGATCTCGTTCTTTCGGTCATGACCCAGAGTTCATGACCATAGATGAGGGTAGGAACGTAGATCGACCGGTAAATCGAGAGCTTCGCTTTTTGACTCAGCTCTCTCTTCACCACGACGGACCGGTACAGCGCCTGCTTCACGGCAGATGCTGCACCAATCCGCCTGTCGATCTCCCGCTCCCTTCTTCCCTCATTCGTGAACAAGATCCCAAGATACTTAAACTCCTCCACTTGGGGCAGGACACCCCCCCTGACCCGGAGAAGGCACTCTACCCTTTTCCGGCTCAAGACCATGGCCTCGGATTTGAAGGCACTGATCCCCATCCCGGCCGCTTCACACTCGGCTGCGAACCGATTCAGCGAGAGCTGCAGATCACGACCTGATGAAGCCAATAAGACCACATCATCTGCAAAAAGCAGAGACGCAATCCTAAGGCCACCAAAACGGATCCCCTCAAAACCTTGGCTGCGCCTAGAAATTCTGTCCATGAAGGTATTGAACAGAATCGGTGACAAAGGGCAGCCCTGGCGGAGTCCAACTCTCACCGGAAACGAGCCCGACTTACTGCCGGCAATGCGGACCAGACTCTGACACCGGTCATACAGGGACCTGACAGCCCGTATCAAAGGGCCCGGCACCCCGTATTCCCGGAGAACCCCCCACAGGGCCCCCCGAGGGACACGGTCGTACGCCTTCTGCAAGTCCACAAAGCACATGTAGACTGGTTGGGCGAACTCCCATGCACCCTCCAGGACCCTGCTGAGGGTGTAGAGCTGGTCCAGCGTTTTTAAATTGTTTAAAAGACAGTAATATTGATCAGAAGCAGTATATTTAAAGTGGACTTAGAAAGATTTTATTTTGTCGTTTTGTACACACAAGTGTAAACAAAAAGACTTTTTAAGTACAGCTCTCTAGACAATTTCATTTTTTTAAAGTGAAGACTTGATAAGGTATGCAACAGTGATAAAAATATTTGATGAAAAACAGTAAAGTAATCATTGTATTAAAAAAAAAAAAGTTCATAATTAACCCAATGAGGTGAAAATTGTCTGTAATATTAATGCAGATATTGCTGCAATGATCTGTCTCTTCATCACCTGATCCATTCTCCCCCCTCACATAAGCAAAACCACCATATTCTAAAACTCCCCCATTTGAGGGGGATTCTCCTATCTGGAGAATCACATTTCACATAGAAAATTTGAAGGAGCTGATCTTAATTCCTATTGCTCTATAATAAAAATAATGTAACTTGATTTATCTCACTAAATTTTTACAATGTAAGATAAATAAAGTTCAATAATTATTTTTTATATTGGAGAAATTTATCTCTACATTTAACCCATCTCCTTGGGGAGCAATGGGCTTCCACCGTGAGGTGCCAGTGGAGCAATCAGGTGTTAAGGGTCTTGCTCAGAGAGCCAGAGGGTTTTGAACTCACAACCTCAGGATTCCAAGCTCTATGCCCTACACTGGAAAAACGATATAGAAATAAGTAAAAATTTGTTAAATTAAGTGTATTTACCCTTATTTTGAGTAGGTAAATGAGGTAGTTTGCCAATGGAATTAGTATTTTTACTCTTAAAATAAGATAATTAGATAACATGCACTTGAAATAAGACAATTCAATTGTGTTTTCTTATTTTAAATCTACATTGTCTTGATCCATTGGCAAAATTCTCTTTTGGCTTCTTAATTCAAGAACAAATGCTCCTATTTTAAGAAATAATGACTTATCTAGATTTAGACTTTTTCTAGTGTAATCACTAGACCGCCATTCCCCCAATTTACACTTGCTTGTAAACCCCAGCAGATGCTGTGGTTCTTGGCTGGAGGGAGCCAGCAGATGCATGTCAATGGCAAAACACAGAGATGAAATCCACTGGCCCTTGACTGACCTAGAAATTCTGTCCACAAAAGTTATCAGATGGTAGCTCTGCGGGAGGCCAACAGGCACCATAAACAGCTTTGACTTAAT